TTTTTTTCGATAAATCACGAAAATGAGTAATTGATTATTAAAAATTATGAAAATGACTTTATGCTGAATTTTTAGGTTATATTTTTCATATTTTTTTATTAATCAATTACTCATTTTCGGGATTTATCGGAAAAAAATAAAAATTTAAAAAGATTGTTGAAATTGTTGAATTTAAGGTTACTATATTTATTTGTGATTTTTTGGCGTTAATTTTATATATTTTTTCTATTTTTTATTAGTCAATTACTCATTTTCGGGATTTATCGAAAAAAATAAAAATTTAAAAAAAATTGTTGAAAATGGGTTGGGTAGTTTATTTAAAAGGGGGTATATCTAGACCCTTTCGAATAGTTTAGGGGTATATTTGACCATTTTTTAATGCCACGTGGTAATGTAAAAATGACGTGGAAATTCCATTTGGCGTTTAACGCCCATAAGGGCATATCTAGACGAAAAGTTGGACGGCGAGAGCACGAGTGAGCCAAACTTTAAACGGGGGGAGGGGGGGGTATATCTAGACCTTTTCGAATAGTTTAGGGGCATATTTGACCCTTTTTCCTTTTTAAAATTCATAGCCCATGGGATGGCCTCTGAGGCTTGCAGGTTGGGCCTATGAGGCTAGCGGGCCAAATGAGGTTGGGTTAAAAAGCCTCGTTCCTAAATGGGGTGAAAAAACTTAGCTCAATCCCATTTAATTTAGGAAAAATTACTGAAATACACGACTTATGTTTCTCTTATTTCCAATATCCCCTTCTATTTCTAAAAACCTCAAAAATCCCTTATTTCTTTAATGTATTCGAGCTACATATTATGTATCCGGTTAATTTTATAATGTATCCGAGCTAGTTTTTAATGTATCCGAGCTACATATTATGTATCCGGTTAATTTTATAATGTATCCGAGCTAGTTTTTAATGTATCCGAGCTACATATTATGTATCCGGTTAATTTTATAATGTATCCGAGCTAGTTTTTAAGGTATCCGAGCTACATATTATGTATCCGGTTAATTTTATAATGTATCCGAGCTAGTTTTTAATGTATCCGAGCTACATATTATGTATCCGGTTAATTTATTAATGTATCCGAGCTAGTTTTTAATGTATCCGAGCTACATATTATGTATCCGGTTTGTGTTACTTTTTAAAGGATTAATGTAATTACAAACTAAAGGGGATATATTGTAATTTCATATTAAAACTATGGGATTCCTAAAATTTATCCTTTAATTTAAGGGTTGGGTTGGGCCGGCCCAGTGGGCCAAGCCCATTTTGACGGCTCTACTTGGAGGTGACGATCTGATTTGGGCCTTTAGAACACTGATTTCTCATGTGGGCTTGGAGCAAACAAGTCGTGAGCTTTGTGCTTAATGGGCCATGATCGAAAGCCCAATCCTCAGAGAGCCCAACGCAGGCATCAAAAGTACCAAACAAAAGAAAAGGCTCATCTACACTTTTTGTCATGTTTTGGTTGGTCTTTAATTTGCCTATGTTTTCTGTTTGTCTATAATTTATAGTATCTCACTATCTCTTATAACTAATAGGAGTATATAAATTTATATTTTGTATCATAATAAAACACGACTTCAATTCCTAAGAAACTTATACCTGATTAGATATAAATTCAATTGATAAGGGGAAAATAATAGAGTTAAAGGGCTTGTGAAAATGCCATGTCAACTGAATGAGAATACCACCCATACCAACCAAAGAGCCAAATCCAAAAGGGGGAGAGATAGAGGGACTATCCAAATTCCTACCACTCACTAAAGATGAGTTCTCTATTTGAAATAGAAAGCCTCCTCCACCCACTCTTCACCACCAACAAATCTTTTCTTTTTTTCATTTTTTTTACTTATTTAAAAAATATATATTATTATTAAAAATATTTTTCCTTGTTGCCTACCACCAACACCAAGATTGGTATTTATCAGATAAAAAAGGCCTTGTTTTTTTCTCTGCCCATATATCAGTTGGTAACTCTTATAAGCTCTCAGATTTATCTTTTCAAGAATACAAAAAGATTCAATCTTTTTGCAAGGTGGTAAGTCTTCTTTTTATCTCTCAATCAATGCTCCTCATGTAATTACCATTTATCTTGAAACACAAGATTGTATTTTTTTTTCTCTTTCAGAGATCTGTCATTGTATCACCTTATAGATCATTCTATTTGGATCTGAACTGCTGAATGTTGTCCGAATTTTCACACTTAATTGAACTTTCATGGAGTTCCTCCGCCTTCAAACAGATAAATACAATTGCCCCTGATTGATTTAATGTTGTTATAATCCTAGGATAGGCTAAATTACATCAAGAAAGTCGAACAATTCTGAAGTGGTTGGTTCAGGGAGTTTAACATTGAGAAGTTGTGATGTGATTTTGGATGGATAAAGCAGTTAAGAAAGAGTACTATTGAAAGTTATTAAATCAAACGGGTTAATCCATCTGTTTGTGAAAGTTTATATGCTCTTTAAGTTCTTCTTTTACTTTAGCTATTGCCATTTTGACTATTCTTGTACAAAGTGTCTCATGAAAAGTTAAATTATTGAATACTTATTGAGAAAAAAATTGACGCAGATTCCTAGATGATTTACAAGTTGACTATTATTTACATGTTCCGACTTTCTGCTTGTTCTTGTTACCACTAGGAATGGTGTTTTTGACAGTTTCTCAGTATGATTTTGATATTTTCGAATTAGATGGATTCAATTTTTTGCCTTGAAAAATGATCAGTCTCATTGTTTGGATTTTGATGATTTGTCTGTAAACTGTTCAGATTATTTGGAAAGATGAGAGGAGGATTGTGGCAACTTGGACAATCGATCACCAGACGTCTGGCTCAGGCTGATAAGAAGACTATTGGTCGTAGATGCTTTGCTTCAGATGCTGATCTGAAGAAGACTGTTCTATATGACTTCCATGTTGTCAATGGGGGAAAGATGGTGCCTTTCGCTGGTTGGAGTATGCCTATCCAGTATAAGGACTCAATTATGGACTCTACAGTAAATTGTAGGGAGAATGGTAGTCTCTTTGATGTTTCTCATATGTGTGGGCTAAGCCTCAAGGGGAAAGATACTATCCCTTTCCTGGAAAAGCTTGTTATTGCTGATGTTGCTGGGCTTGCTCCTGGGACTGGTTCTCTCACAGTTTTCACAAATGAGAAGGGAGGTGCAATTGATGATTCAGTGGTCACCAAGGTGACTAATGATCACATCTACCTTGTTGTAAATGCGGGTTGCAGGGACAAGGATCTTGCACACATTGAGGAGCACATGAAATCATTCAAGTCAAAAGGTGGTGATGTTTCATGGCACATCCATGATGAGAGATCTCTTTTAGCCCTTCAGGTCTGCTCGCTCTTTCCAACAATTGATTCATGCTATATGCTTTATATAAATATTCTCTTATCATGAAGTAAGTAATAATGTTAATCACATGCACTAAGAACTGATCAAAGATTGAAAAAGGGCGCTTAAGTAGCCAAGGATATGATAAAGTGATATCCAACATCCCAGTGGATACAGAATGTCAAAAATATTCAGCTCATAGAATTATCAGACTATCTGTAGAAATGTGGGATTTTTCTAGCTTAAGGTAATTTGCACTTGATCATATCTGGTGATAATGTATAGATCCAAATGAATATACTTTCCGGATGACCTTTTCTCATTGTATCGCTAAGTTATTTTCTTTCCCTTCGTGCAAATATTGCCGAATCCATGCATATTAATCCCTCGCCCTTCTGTTCTTTCTTCCTTATCTAAAACTTTATTTTCATCAGTTTTGGGGCACACTTCTGTGCTAGCAATGATTTTCTACCCCCCTCTCTCACCCAACTCCTTCAACCGACTAAAAGAATGTGCAACTTGCAAGATATTTACCAAATAATCTTCATCTTCCCCACAATTAATGAATCTTATTTTCTTTCAATGCATCTCTCGAACTATGTCTTCGATTTTCAGGAAATAATTTCTTTCATTTCACTGCTTTTCAGGAAATAATTAATCTCTTTCATTTTCTGCTTTTCAGGAAATAATTTTTTTTTCATTTCACTTCTTTAAGCTGTTTAATTATTTCGCTAGTTACAGATTATTTTTCTTGACTTCTTTTGTTCAGGGCCCCCTTGCTGCTCCAGTTCTTCAATATCTGACAAAAGATGATTTGAGCAAGATGTACTTTGGGGAATTCAGGGTTTTGGATATCAATGGGGCACCATGCTTCCTCACAAGGACAGGGTATGCTTCTGCTCTTGCTTTCCTCTTCAAAATTGAGTGCTGAATCTGCGCCCGAGAAAAAGCAATCCTTTGGTTTGATAAACTTTTTCAAAATTCAAAAAGTTCAAAATCAAAATCACTTCAGATAAATGAAAAAAGGTCCAAGCATTTTTCTTCGGCTAGTTCCTTCTTTAATTGTTTAATAATGGGTTAACCTGGCTTCTGTTATGGTCGAATACCTCTTTGTTATTGCACACTAATGGATAAAACAGCTACAACTGTATCCATAAGGCAACTTCTCTATGTTCCTAGTCATTCAGTGAGCTATTTTCTTATGCAATCATTTCCTACTTCTGATGTATGCTTGGCACTTGATCCTTGCGCAAGTAATCTTGACTTGCGACATCCCCTCTGACATAATCTGTATTTTGAGTGGTTTTCAGGTATACTGGTGAAGATGGATTTGAAATTTCAGTACCTTCAGAAAATGCTCTTGATCTTGCAAAAGCTCTTCTGGAGAAATCAGAAGGGAAGATTCGGTTAACAGGTTTAGGAGCTCGTGACAGTCTTCGTCTTGAGGCTGGATTGTGCTTATACGGCAATGACATGGAGCAGCACACAACACCTGTAGAGGCAGGGCTGACATGGGCCATAGGGAAGAGAAGAAGGGCAGAAGGAGGCTTTCTTGGTGCTGAGGTAATACTAAAGCAAATTGAAGAAGGTCCTAAAATCAGGCGAGTTGGCTTTTTCTCTTCAGGCCCACCCCCTAGAAGTCACAGTGAAATTCAAGATTCAAATGGACAAAATATTGGAGAAATCACCAGTGGTGGTTTCAGCCCTTGTCTTAAGAAGAACATAGCAATGGGATACGTAAAAACAGGTAACCACAAGGCAGGGACCAATGTCAAGATTGTGATTCGAGGAAAGTCTTATGATGGGGTGGTTACCAAGATGCCTTTTGTACCCTCCAAGTACTACAAGCCATAATAACTCTTTGTTGCCTCTTAAAAACTTGTTGATTCCTCTAATTTCTACCTTGTTCTTACTGTTTTTAGTGAAAGTATAACCGGAATACTTCAATCTACATGTTGCTCTTTTTTGCTTATGAGTTCCTTTCAATGCAACATGGACCACTTTCTTTCTTTCTTTCTTGCATGATATGTGTATTTTCCCTTTTGCCTTCCTCTGGCATTATCACAGAGTTGCATGATCTCAGTAAATGTAGTGTAGTGTGTATAATGGAAGGTACTTGAAGTACATATCAAGGGTATTAAGAGAATGCCTAAGCACCATATTTGCAATGACAAATGTAAATGTGATGAGCCACATTTGCCATTTGGGGTGATTCTGACGTCCATACTTGTGTTGCCAAAGTTAAATTTGTTACTACTTATTATGCAACAATTAAGAACTTCTTTTAACTTCTGCAGAATCATATAAAATGAGAGAAAGATGCACCAACCTATGTATCGTATATACAGTGTTTACTTTTGTCATGTCACATAATTTTTTCTTTTTGCTTTTCCTTATCTGACATTCAAAGACTCTACTCCCAAGGAAAAAAGTTCTCCCCTAATTATACACCAAATTAGTGGTATCAAAAGAGCATATTATGTTGAAATTGATCAAGTTAAAATGAGTTGAGTTAATAAATAGGTTGGGCTAAACTCAACCCAAAAGTTGCTTGGGCTAAAAATGGGTTGGGTTATGATCCGCAAATTTGACCCAATTTTTTTTTAATAGTCCACTCCTGAAACCCGGGAATCGAGCCTTGACTCGGCACTTGGGACATAAGACTCGTGATCTGATCTGAGCCTTGACCCTAGCTTGGAAACCGACACAGAAACCAACCTCAAGAGGTCGGTTTTATACTCTTTAAATTTATATTTCACAAAAAGAAACACATTCTAAGGTCAGATTATTATTTTTGCAAAAAAAAAAGATAAAAAAAATATTAAAATTTAAAACCGACCATCAGAGGTTGGTATATTTTGATTGATTGATTTATTTATTTTGAAAATAAAACAACTTCGTGAGGTCAGTTTTTATGACTTTTATTTATTAAAGAAACGGACCTTAGAAGGTCGCTTTGCATTTATTTTATTTTTGGCGTTACGAAAATGACTTCCAACCTTAACTCAAAACCCGAGCCTCAAATTTGACCAGAGACCCAAGACTTGAGCCCTAACTTGGGACTCGAGACCTGATCCCCGACCATTACTTAGAACCCTTAACAAGAAACAATTCTAACCTGAGATTCGAGCTGATTCGGGACTCAAGACTCGAGACTTGATCCTAACTCAGGAATCCATACCCGATCCCCCACCATGACCTCGACCCGAGACCATAGATCCAAGATTCGGAACCCGAGCCCTAACTCATAAAAAAAATCCAAATGAAAGTAAACTTTACAATATGGGCTAGAATTAGGTTAGTATTGGGCTAAATTGAAAATCACCCTTTAAAAATGAGGCTAAAATCAATTCTTGGGCCATATTTAACACCCTTCAACAAAAAATGTGGGCCTGGGCCTCTAGCAAAATGAACAGAAACCGGGTCCGTTTTTAAGAAACCCATTTATTACAAAACTCGCGTTTTAAAAACGCATAAACTCGCGGCGGCAGTGGTGTTCCGTACATAATCTTCGTCTGCAATAATGGGTGAGGCTCTGAAGGACAATATCATGGACTCAGTAAGATCGGTAGTTTTCAAAGAATCCGAAAATCTAGAAGGCTCTTGCACAAAAATCGAGGGCTACGACTTCAATAAAGGCGTTAACTATGCTGAGCTTATCAAGTCCATGGTTTCCACTGGTTTCCAAGCTTCAAATCTTGGTGACGCCATTGAAATTGTTAATCAAATGGTCAGATTTCACTTCTTTCTTTAACTTACGCTAAAAAAGTTTGTTGCTTTATGCAAATTCTCATTTTTTTTCCAGTTAACTTAGATCCGATGATATTGAATTTTTTCACCCATCCGCATATAATAAAGTTAATTGCTTTACACTAACTATATTTGGGTTTCAACTACTCTCCCCTTCCCATTTTATAAGACTGGAAACAGAGTTTAAGATGTTAGCTTGACTTATATATTAGTATGTCATTCATTAGTCATAGTGGAAAAAAGGTCTTGGTAGAAAAATTAGTTCCGTAGAGAAAATATCACATTGAAGTTTTAATATGTTGTAATTAATTTGGATTCTAAAAGATCATGAAACATGTAGATACTGAATAATATCAGTCATGAGTATCCAGGTGGTAAACTTGGCCCTTGGAAGCAGATTTGGAGGAACAAGGTGCCAACCAAGGTAAAGTGTTTCTCCTGGTTGGTTGCCAGAAGAGCATGCTCCACTCATGAGAAATTGAAAAGGAGGGGTTTCTATATTGCTTCTTGGTGCTCTCTCTGTAATGAGACTGAGGAAACCAACAACCCATTTGTTCCTCCATTGCAAAGTGACAACACAATTGTGGAACCTTTTTTTGGGACTAACACATACATAATGGATTATGCCTGAGCATACAGCAGATCTACTTAGTTGCTGGATCAGCAGAGGGGGGAGAAAATCTAAGAAAAAGTGGTGGAGTATAATACCATCATGCATTTGGTGGTGTATTTTTTTTTTTTGATAACTGAGAAATCCGTCTGTGACCCGCCCTTTGGACCAATCACAGCCTTCTAAACTCGGTGGATAATGGGCCCGCCCCTCTACCCTTCTCCACTTAAATACCGGGTTTCGCTTTGCATGGTATGGGGCTTGAACCTGCGACCTAAGCCACAAATCCTCCACCTTTTGCCACTTGAGCTAGGCCTTGGGGGCGCATTTGGTGGTGTATTTGGAAAGAAAGAAATAGGAGATGCTATGATAACAAAGCTAATTCAATAGAGAAAGTCAAATGGAACTGCTTGACTACTTTTTATTTTTGGTGTAAAGAGGAAGGGATAGAAGAAGCTGCACAAATTTTGGATTTTATAGGCACTTTGTAATCTATTTGCCTTTTTTGTTTTTTCTCTTGTTGAAAACCAATTTTTGGAGGTCTCCAGCATATCCTTAATGCTGATGAATACAACATTATCTTTATTAAAAAAATTAAATATCAGTCATGTTTTGGAAGTCATAAAATATAGAAAGTAGCAGTAGAAAGAAGAAAGTTAAAAATTTAGAGTTTGTAGGCAAAATATGTTAAAAGAATTATTCCTAAAATAGAAAGAATGCTATTTAAGTTGGAATTGGGTGGGTGTAGATAGTATGATTCATGGTTCTTGTATGCATATTGGAAGTATCGAAGACTTATTTCAATTCAATTAATATATGAATTTACTTCGGAAAATCTGTCCACCCTCACAAGTCAAACCTCACCATTCTTTTTACAGTTGATGATGTGCTTCTTAAAAAATGGTTTGATTTTTTATTAACAGGTTACCTTCTTTCATACACTTGAAGTTTTTGAACTAGTTTTAAAGTTCTTAAATTGATTCTAGAAGTTTGAAATTTGTGTTTTTGTTTGGGGGTGTGATGGTTTTGAAGCTAGATTGGAGGCTTTCACATGAGCTGCTCATGGAGGATTGCAGCGAAGAAGAAAGAGATGTTGCATACAGAGAGTCGGTAACCTGCAAAATCTTTTTGGGGTTCACTTCAAACCTTGTTTCTTCTGGTGTTAGAGACACTGTCCGCTACCTTGTTCAGCACCGAATGGTGAGTAGCATTTAAGTAACAGTTCCAGTCGTTTCTGTTCTACTAACTTTTAAGTCTGACTGTGTTGTACCATTAAGTTTGAACCTTGTGGGCTACTTTCATATGAGATCATCTTAATATATATTCTCAATTTTTTTTTATGTCCCCTCCCTTCTACACTCTAAAGCTATAGTTACCACACTAATACTATGGCATCCACTTATTCAACCTCAATACTCTTTTATATGATTTATTATGTCAAGCACTGAATCACTGTTATGCTTGGTTTGTATTAATTGAAGATTATTTATCATGTTCCACTCTCTCCTTGTCTCTCTAATTTATTGGTTAAGCAAACTAGAATACCTCATCCTTCTCTCTGCCACACAAGTACTAAATGCTATGGTAGAAAATTACAATCTCTGTGTCTTAGGTTTTAGCTGTCATGGCTAGCATTGGTCTAATGAAATTGTTGTTACCATAGGGAAGAATTTTATATTATTTATTGTGTCTTGGACCTTAGCAAATTGACTTCCCTCCCTGCAGGTTGATGTTGTGGTTACTACAGCTGGTGGTATTGAAGAGGATCTCATAAAGTGCCTTGCACCAACCTACAAGGGGGATTTCTCTTTATCTGGAGCTGCTCTACGATCGAAAGGATTGAACCGTATTGGTAACTTATTGGTTCCTAATGACAACTACTGCAAATTTGAGAATTGGATCATCCCAATTTTTGATCAAATGTATGAGGAGCAGATTAATGAGGTATCTACTCTTGTCTGGTTCGGTGTTAGATCCTCCCATTACTTGTTTAATATTGGCTGAAGCTTTAACATTCAATCGGTATTTTGGAATTACTTTCAAATACAAATGGATTTTTTACTTGGGTCATTGTGTTTGTGATATTCTTTCAAAAATGATAATACTTATCTTAGCTTAGGCTTGTGATGATTTGACCGTTTTATCTTCTTTTTGTACTACAGAAGGTTCTATGGACACCATCTAAAGTCATTGCTCGCCTGGGTAAAGAAATTAATGATGAAACCTCATACTTGTATTGGGCTTACAAGGTACATTTCTAATCACTTCCCTTTCATTACATATTTGATGAAATTGTATTACTCAAGTTAGAACGCCAAATCTGGTCCCACATATATAATAGTTACCTCTCCCTCTTTTCATTTTATAAGGTGCATTTCTAATCACTTCCCTTCCATTCCATATTTGATGAAATTATATTGGTGAAGTTAGAATGCCAAATGATCTAGTCCCACAATATAATTAATTATTAAATACGACTTCCCCTTTCCATTTTATTGGCATAGTTTGACTGGACACGAAGTTTATGAATGTAAAGAATACTTTTGAATCTTGTGTCATAAACTAAAGTTTGTATATCATGCCAAAAATACCTGTTGTATCTTGTGGTCTACTGGTCTTAAACATGTCATGTCATTTATGTAAGGGAGTGTTATTAAGGGTATGTTGAAGTTAAAAACTTGCTAAATATAGAAAGAGACATTCTTTTTAGACAAACTAAAACGAGAAGTAAGGCACATAAATTGAAATGGTGGGAATAATATTGGGATATTATTTTGATAAATGAGAAAGTAAGAGATGTTACCTGAGAGAAAATGGATTTGCATGCATCGTGGTAGCAAATTCATCATTATTGAGATCAGCAAGTGAAATCAAGAGGAAAGGATAAAAGGAGAAGAAACCTTTTTTTTTTTTTTTGGAATGAGGAGGATTCATCTAGCGGACCCCATCCTGTTTGTGACTGAGGCGTAGCTGTTGTTTCCCTATTTTTTTTTTGTTTAGACGCCGAAAAAACCCTTGAACTGTTTCCTTTGAATTCAAGAAAGAAAATGAAATACAACATTGTATAGGAGGGAAAAAAGAAAGTTTAAAAGAGGGATACAACTTCAGAGGCAGATTTTTGCAATACTTAATTGGAGGATATCTTTTGTGCAGAAAACATCATTAACAGTTTTTACTCTTATCAAATCCTTTCTGCTTGCCAAATGCACAAAAATTCAGGAAAGTAGCTTCTATCATTATTCCCAGGTTTTCCTTGCAATTAAATAGTACCTTTGTCATTCAAGGTACTAACCTTTGTTATAGTTTTCGTCTTTCAGGTGGGAATAATAGGGATTGGGTTGGGGATATCTTCCGAAACACCTAGCTGTCGTTTTCTGGAAAATATCGACTTTTACCCAGGAAACTTTTACATTAGTGCAGTAGGGAAGAACAGAATAGGAGATGTCTCTTTCCAAAGGGGGGTATGAATTGAAACAACACCTTATTTTTTGGTAGGAAAATTAGTGATCCTAGTTAATCTCAGTTTTTTTTTGGTTTTTGGACTTGGCTGACGTTGCTGTAAATAGTTCAACAATCTATCTTAGTGCTGTTTTGACAGACTGAAAATCCTTTTACCTTCTCAAAAATAAAAAGGTTGTTAAAATACCTGTTTTATCTCTAGATATTCCAAGTGAAGTTTTTTCACAAGCAGAAGTCTGCCTGCTGAAATATTGTGACTTAATTTCTAATAGAATAAATCTCGTTTTCATTCTCAGAACCGGATTCCTGTCTTCTGTCCTGGCTTGACGGATGGATCACTTGGTGACATGCTATACTTCCATTCTTTCAAAAAGGGAGATCCAGATCTTAATCCTGGTCTAGTCATAGACGTTGTTGGAGGTATAAGTATCTTATCAAGTGATTATTTTCTCTTATCAAGAATTTGTTTGATGAAAGAACTAACATAATTAAGTTCTATAACCAGATATTAGGGCCATGAATGGTGAAGCTGTCCATGCTGGTTTGAGGAAGACAGGAATGATTATACTGGGTGGAGGGCTGCCTAAGCACCATATTTGCAATGCCAATATGATGCGCAATGGTGCAGATTTTGCCGTCTTCATTAACACTGCACAAGAGTTTGATGGTAGTGACTCTGGTGCCCGTCCTGATGAAGCTGTATCATGGGGAAAGATACGTGGTGGCGCCAAGACTGTGAAGGTTAACAACTTACCTCTTCTACATTTTGTGCAAGCATCTCCTTTGGGTGTGTTGTTATCATGAAGATTAAATGGAGGGGAAAAGGTCTGTCTGGCAGGTTTGTGATGGGAAAAAAGATTTGTCATGAGTTAAGAGGAGGTGATGTTTCATTATTTAAAAATCTCAAAGAGTTAATATCACTAAGTTTAGCTCGAGGAGGGAAGTTCAAATGTGTCAAAAGCTTATGAGAGAGTATACACTTTGCTCAACCTTACGAATAGTTTATTTAGTTAAATTTTTTTATGTTTTCCTATCTGGGTTAAAATTAGGGCAACAGAAATCATTTCTAGAACAAGGTTGGTTCTTTTACTGTCCCTGCTATATATTTATCAGACTATAGGCTTCAAAGGATGTGAGATTCTAATTTGTTGTACTGTTTTTGATTTGTTGAATGCAGGTGCATTGTGATGCAACAATTGCATTTCCCATATTAGTAGCTGAGACATTTGCAGCCAAGAGTAAGGAATTCTCCCAGATAAGGTGCCAAGTTTGAACATAGAGGAAGCTGTCCTTCCAACCACACATATGAATTGCTAGCTTTTGAAGCCAACTTGCTAGTGTGCAGCATCATTTATTCTGCAAGACTGACTAGAGAGCAGGGTATATTCCTGTACCCCGAGTTAGACGACATCCTGTATGGTTCAAATTAATTATTTTTCTCCCCTTCACACCATGTTATTTAGTTCTCTTCCTCTTCTAAAGTGAAGAGCTTAGATGTTCATAGGTTTTGAATCATGTTGTATCATATTTTGAGTTTTGGAGGTTGGTGATAACTGACAAGTCCTCTTACCATATATATGATGGATCCTTGTACTATGAGATTTAGGGTGTGTTTGGTACGAAGGAAAATGGTTTTTGGAAACAAGTGGATTTTAAATTTATTTTCTCATGTTTAATTGGTGAGTAGAAAATATTTTTTAATGTTTGGCTGGTCAATGAAAAATATTTTTTAGGAAAATAATTTTGATTCGAAAATTAACCCCGATAATTGATCTAATACCTGATCCTGACACCTAAACTAGGACAAAACCCTAACGATCCTACCAAAAGTCACCTTTCAGATCTGACTCAGGAATTGGCCAGACCTTCGACCATGAAATATTTTTCAAAAGTAATTTTTTTTATAAAAATAATTAATCCGGGGGGAGAGGGGAAGTTGGAGGGATGGCAGGGGTAGGGTGTAGGGGTGGCGTAAAAATTGAAATATTATTCAAAAAAAAAAAATTGACCGGGGGGGGGTGGGGTGGTGGTGGAGGTGGCATAAAAAAAAATAAATTTTAAAATTTGAAATACTTTTTAAATTTTTTTGATGAGGTGGCCTGGTGGGTGTGGGGGCCTAGGAGTGGCGTAAAAAATAAATAAAAATTAAATTTTAAATGAAAATTGATGAGGGGGACGGGGTAAAATAATGAAATTTTAATTCCAATATAAAATTATACATAAATTTTTTCATAATCAATTTACCAACAGACATCCAAAAAGAAAATGACAAAAAAATGGCATGGTTGCAAAATCACAAAAAAAGAAAAAGAAAAAGGGAACGTTATTCTTGTGTTGGTTGGACAATGTACATTATTATTAGGAAAAAATACCTATCTACATACCTTTATTTACCATAATTTATGTTATTTCCTACCATTTCAAAATATTACCAAAATCCCTTATTTTACTGCCCAATCCTAATCTCCTGATACATAACTTCATACTCCCAAAACTAACGTTTTTCTTCCTTAATTCACTTCATTAATCTCTCCTTAACTTCACTCCCACAATCTTATCAATTAATTCCTTTCTAACAATTTGAAATTCAAAATCGCTCTCTCTCCACTCAAATCAATTTCAACTTCTTGAATAGGTAATTTTTGTCTTCCTTGATTTTTGCCGTTCATCCTTGTTTTTGTTTTTTTTCATCATCAATTTACTAATGTTAATTCAAGTCTCAGTGGGCACATGGTGGGGTTGGAAAATCACCAAAAAACAGTTAAGAAACGTGTTTTTATGTTGATTGGTGACCAACAGTCCAAGTGTCCAACTGAAATCTAGGATTTGATTAGTCGGTTTAAAGAAGCGATATATTATTATATTTAATTTAATAGTGTAAAGAGTAAATTACATCCTATCTCTACTCTTTTTCTAATTACAATAATCCCTTAAAATTTGTACCTTCCGGATACATTAATTCTAACACAAGAAGAATCTTTATGTTGCTCTAAAAAGGGAATAAAATCTGAAAATTAATTAAATCCCATAAATTACGCTTATGTTTCTTCTTACTCTTAATCATACAGAGGCAAATCCTATTAGAATGAATAAATTCAAAATTTCAAATTGCTCCCCCATCAACAAAGAAACCTTTCAATTTGATTAAAAAAATTGTCGAAATTTTGGGCAAGCGAGGTGAGTTATGAAGGATACAAAAGTGATGAAATTGTTGTTGGACAAACGATTTCATTTTGATTCTTCAAGTTCATCGAAGATCCCTTTCAATTTTTGATTTCAAGATTGTCAAAAAATTTGAGAATTCAAGATTCTTACTTCTCTCAGTTCATCGAAGATCCTTCAATTTTGATTCAAAAATTGTTGAAAATTTTGAGATTCAAAATTCTTCTCCTAGTTTATTAAAGATCCTTTCAATTTTGATTCAAAATTGTCAAAAAATTTGAAAAGATACATCATGGATATCTTTGCTACTTGGCATTTTAGGAATTTATGTATCTTGTTTAAATTGATAAATATTGTATTTATACTAGATACAGTAAATAAATAATTGTTGTCCATAAGATGTTAGATTTGAGATCGATACATTACCGTGTGGGAATTGCTATGTAATTGATACATTTAGTATAAATTCGAATTTACGTATTATATCTAAAAAATTAGTGCATGATACATTACTATTTATGTATCTCGTTTAAATTGATAAGTATTTTATTTACACTAGATACATTAAATAAGTAATTGTTGCCCATAAGATGTTAGATTTGAGATCGATACATTACCGTGTGGGAATTGCTATGTAATTGATACATTTAGTATAAATTCGAATTTACGTATTATATCTAAAAAATTAGTGCATGATACATTACTATTTATGTATCTCGTTTAAATGGATAAGTATTGTATTGTTACGGGATACATTAAACATGTAATTGTTGCCCACGAGTTATTTGATTTGAGATCGATACATTTAGTATAAATTAGTATTTATGTATCATATACAAAAAAATTATTAATATGATAAACAATGATTTAGTTAAAAAAATTGTACTGCACATACATAACAAACATATGATACATACCTATTTATATAAGTGACAGTTTTTATGATTCGTTTTTGTCCTAATTTTCTCCATATTTGTTCTGTCATGTCCATGTATGGGTGGTTTATTTTGTGTATGAAAAATTACCCCAATATTCACATGATTTTCCTGTAAAAAAAAAAAGAACTGGAAAGAAAAAAAATAAAGAACTCATTAACTGGAGCGAGAAAATATTTAAAATTCAAAATAAAGGAGTGATGAAGGTAACTGGTGTTTACATTCCTACTCTATTCGAATAGGGCGAAACGTCGCAGTGACTAAAAAAAATAATCAATTGATTCAATTTTAAAAGAATTTTAAGAATAAACAAATTTTAAAGGAGTCGCCACCTAATTTTAGGAAAAAACTAGGAAACCATTAAGTGATCTACGAAACCAAGATTCTAGGTAAGGGGTTCAAATTATTCCGAAGGGAAGGTGTTAGGCATCCTTCGAAATCCACAATTGTGGATCCCGACTGAGTTCATTTTTTCAAATTGAGGAGGAGATAAAAATAATATACAAATAAAACAAACATACAAGATACACAAGTAATAAAATAAAATAATATCAGAAACAACCTAGATTTGTCTATCATCAATACTATACGATAATGAATTAAAATATTGTTCGAACTTTGTTCGAATAGCTTCAATGGGAAGCAGCTCCGAGTACCTGTAAAGACACTTAGTAAAAGTGTTAGTAATAAATAAATATGAATAAAAATAAATGAATTAAACAATAACTTAAAAAATAAAATCCGTCTTATTAACATGGAAGGCCTTGGAAATCGACGGTAATTTCTTCATCGGACAATTCTAAGATATAACATATATAAACTTAAACTAAATTTCCGTCTTTTAAATGGGGAGGCCTCCAAAACTGACGGAGAGATTTTCTCATTGGCCAATTTCAACTTGTAACAATTAATGAAACTTAACTAAATTTACCGTCTTTGCAATGTGGAGGCCTCCAAAAACCGGACGGAGGAGATTTTCTCATTGGCCATTTTTAACAAATAAAATATATAAGCTTAAACTAAAATTCCGTCTTTTAAATTGGGAAGGCCTCTAAAATCGACGGAGAGATTTTCTCATTGACCAATTTTAACTTACAAAATATATAAACTTAAACTAAATTTCCGTCATTTAGAATGGGAAGGCCTCCAAAATCGACGGAGAGATTTTCTCATTGGCCAATTTCAACTTGTAACATTTTAAAAAAAATACAAAATCCAATAAAAAACAAACTAACAGAAACAAAATCAAATAAAAGAAAAAAGATAAAATAAAGTAAATACAATGACCAAACATTAACAATATAACTCACTGAGAATACATAGTGAAATATTACGGAGAAGATGAATTTTCAATAGAAAATACTACGACCTCATAAACAGAGTCAAACCCACCCAACAAGCATATAACAAATTTAAAAATTAAAATACCAAATAACAATAACCTTTAACGCTTAGGATATCACAAAGTCAATTTTAAATATAAAAACAACCGCAACCCAATGTGCATATATAATTCAATATAAACAATATACTACTACTACTATTACTACTACTATTAGATAAGCAATTTTGAAACAGATCTTACCTTAAGTAGTGAGGGAGACTTATTTGACAAATGTTTTTACAAAATACATATGCATACATAATATTTTCATCGATGTTATTAATTATGAGTAAATTTTAAAAAAAATAGAAACTCATTAAAATTGTATTATTTCAAGAAATTTAACTTTATGAATCGCATAATTAACATTATTTATATGGTGCACTTTATTAATTACACATGTAAGCTTAAGGGTCCCAAAATTATTTTAAAAACAAATCATAAAAAAATTAATATTAAAATCTATATTATACTTAATTAGGATACCTAACTAGAGAACACTATAATAAACTTAAAAGTTAAAAAAGAAAATCAAATCTCCATATTAAGAAAAAAGAAGGCATATCAGCATCGTTTTAAAATTTAAATAGTTACTATATAAAAACTTTGTTTTCATTATTTTTTAATAAAGTATATTATTTAAAACATTTAAGTATAATTTAAAAGCACGAGTAAATTTATATTTGCATATTTCAACTTTTTTTCATGCAATCAATTAAGAGGAAAACATAATTTTAACTCTCAACTCATAATATTAATGATATGAATTGGTCGATTTATTTTAAAAAGTTATATTATATCGATACGATTTGATAAATCTTTTAGCATTATTTTAAATTATATTATTTAAAAAATAAAACGATGCTGCAAGTTGCAACAACATCTTTTTCGTACTTTTTAAGTTTTCTTATATGGTATATTTCCTCCATTTAAAAAAGAATGACTTACTTTCCATTTTAATCTGTTTAAAAAAGAATGATCCATTTCTTTTTTATAACATTTTAATTTTAGCTTTCCACGTGACATGTTTAAGATCACAAGATTAAAGTGTATTTTGCTACATTGACATTAACTTTAATTTAAAATTACAAGTTTGAAAAATCTTCTTTATTTTTTTTAAATTATATGTCAAATCAAATTAAGTTATTCTTTTTTAAACGAAAGGAGTACATTTTTAATA